TGTGCTGCATCAAATCATATAGACTGGATTAATAAATTGAAATTGAGTTCTTAAGTGAATCCTGCTTCCCCGATTGACTTTGCTTGTCATAACCTGGCTGGAAAAAGTCACGTCAAGACGCTACAACCATTGTAAACATCTGCCAGTTACCAAGCATCCAAACTTTGATCATGTGACCATGGGTAAGTGCGAGGACTGGTCATAAATCACTTTTTTCAATGCCATTGTAATTTCAAATGTTTGCTAAATGAATGGTCGAACACTATATTTCTACTCTATACAGTATAGTACCATACACTATTTTCTTGAAAAGTAACTTAAAAGTCAAAGTAAAACAGCAACTAGTGTAGTCACAGGTGTCAATAACGTTACAGCACATAAAAAACACCCTTGGAAATTGTCTATGGATATTCTCAGTTATTCAGGTCCTAGTTGTCCCAAAGGTTCTTCATCAAGAGGCAACTGGACTTTCTGGTTTTTCTTGGAAGATGTTTCGCTTCTTGTTCAAGAAGATCTGAAGAAACGTCTTGGATGAGAAGTGAAATGTCTTCAAATAAAAACCGATAGTCTAGTTGCCTCTTGAAAAAGCACCTTTGGGACACCCTTGGAAATTATTTTTAAATATTTCCGAAATCACACAGGGACCAAGAGAACTGTACGATAAGTGCCAGGTGAGTTTCTCCACAGAGGGCACTCCATAAAACATCCCCTGGGGTCCATTAAGGAAATATTTGATTTCTGCTTAGTTTTATATTCTTTAGAAATAAATCCACATGCTTGAAACTTGTCATAAGCAATTTCTATTATGGCTGCAAATGTGATGAATTTTTCTTGGTAAACGCATGTGCTTCTCTAGTACAAAATAACCCAACAGAGATTTCCATACTTTATTTTAACACATAAGAGTCAAATAAGATTGCGGAAAGTTGACAAGGCCAGAAGGACCATTTTCCATTCCATTTTGTGCATGTCATGATTCTTTTCTGGACGTACAAATACATATGTTAGATACCAAGAAGCTACCAAGAACAAAAGGCAGAACTCTATTAAACTTCAGAAATAAGCTTATTTAGATAGCAAATAGCCCAAATGCTCATACCTACTACTCCTAAATCCTTTTTAATCTTACTAAAGAAAGAGGCAATCTCACAATTTCATGTTTTGCTTTTAAACTCACAGAGATAATTAAGCTCTTAACATAGAAACAACTCTTGCTGCAAATCAGCGTTGTAAAGATAGTTCTTTGTCTGTAGATGGCATTAACAGTCTCTAAAGATGAGCAATTCTCTTTTAAAGCTTTCACGTATTATAAGCTATTGAAGCGGGGAGGAGGGTGTTAGTGAAATAGGGCCTAAGTATTTTTAGAAATATGGCCAAATGTCCCAGTGTATTTGGGAAAAAACAAATGCATTTTGAAAATATGTAGAACTCTTTGGATTGTCAGCATATCTTTTTTTCTTCTTTTTTCTTTTCAACTAAATTACTTGCATTGGGATTATTCCTTATACTATTTATGTTATTTGTATTTGTTATCATGGATTGCACCAGTGAGGAGGCTAAAACCAATTTTGTTGTATTTATTTTGGTCAAGGACAATAAAGACTGTACTATAGTAAGAAATCTCAGTGCTAGCTGAATCCATAGTTCAGATTTGAAATAGAAAATACATTGCAGGATCCAATTTAGGTAGGATACCATGACCAGAAATTTAGTCTTCTGATTTTCCTGGGACACGTGCATTTACCTTCATTCATGAGAAAATACATTGTTAAATGCAGAGGTTTTTTTTTCCAGGAGACTCAGTTTTATTTTTATAATGTAGTTGGAGTTCATGGCCCAAATGTTCTTTCCAGCTCTATTTATTTTATAATTCTAAAAAAGTCAGATTCCCCCACTTTTTTTATGGATGTGCTATGCAATATTCAATATTGGCAAAGAACGGGGCTTGATTAATATGGGCCGACTCACTGGCTTCATACGGAAGTACCCCATCATCAATCTAAATTAGTACATCAATCTCAATGTATAGGAGAGAAAATGGCAGAAATGGGAGGAGGAGTTAAATGAGACATTAGTTTAGAATCACTAGGTAGCCACAAAATAATGAATTTCAAACCACCCTCACCCTCGAATGCCAGTTGTGCTTTATCTAATTTTGTCCAGATTGCAGACCGTTCGTTTGAGAAGATTCTTGTGAGTAGGATTTAGCAATAAATCAGTAAATTAGAACTTTCACATGTGGGATGTGTTTTTCTGCTTCTGACACAATTGCTACATTATGATCAGTGAATCTCAATTTTGCAGTGTAAGAATTAAGCACATTGAAGTTTTAATTATCAAAATGAGAAAAAAAAACTTAGTATTTTGAGCTGAATCAAAAACACTTTGTGCAGAAGAATATTCCCCCCCCCAACCCAAACATTTTATTGGAGTAACACAACAAAATTAAGCAGGCAGTATTGGAATAAGCCCTAAGGCTAAGTCTTGAAATAAATGCCAGTCTGAAAAACTATGCATCTGGAGTCCAGAGCTTAATAATCAAATCAAAATATCTGTCACTGAGTGACTATGTCATACACTTTGATTTACTGGTGCTACATATAATCAAAGGTAATTGACAATAAAAGAACAATATCATTACATTATTAAAAGACAGGTTTCTCTAATCCTTCTTATAGTGTGTTCATTCATCAAACATGTGTGTTTTTAAATATACTACATAAAAATCTCCATGACAACCTATTCTGCAGATAATACAATATTTAATGCAGAATACNTAGGAATTAGTATCAACTATTTTGTTCTGACTCGACTAGTGTATCCTGGAAAACTAGTCTTTGCCTCTCAGTTTCTTGAAAAACTTTACTAATCCCTGTTGAATTATTAAAGTAGGGTAAGAAAAGAATGATATGAATACTTGTGCCAATCAAAATAACCCATGTACTAAAGTAATGGAATGTCATGCTCACTTGTAACATTTAATGTTAAAAATTCCCTTAAACCAAATTTAATTTCTAGTGTTCACATAGTTTTTTTGGCAATGATGTGGAAACAGTTTGTAATTATCTTATTTTGGGATGTTTTTTTCAAGGCCCAGTCTAGTTTTATCATTCCTGGTGACTTGCTCTCCAAGGACTAGCCAGATTAGCTCAGTTACTTGCTGTGACCAGTAATGTTTAGTATTTATTTAAAAGAGCATTTTTGAAGAATCAAATGTTAATATTTCTGCAACATTTATCAATCTAGGAAAATCTTTATTTCTTTCTGCTCCCAAGGAAATTATGTTCAAAATGGGCAATAAGGAAGACAACATCAATGAAAGGGTAACTAGTGTGACTACATATGTAGACCTTTTTCTTTTGTATGTCACTATTTTAACTGGGTTTTTTTAAAGGTTCAGCCCCAAGGGTGTGCCCAAGACATTTTGCAGTTTGAAGGATAAGACTGTTTTCCCTCCCACCCCATTTGCTAAATCAGTTGGATGGCCAACAAGAGTATTCTTTTGATGTCATCAAAGGGACAGCATCTTCATTGGGCCTATGGTCAGACCACTGACTGCCCTATCCTGAATAGCGTACTGCCCACCTCATCCTGCCTAATACCAAGGCTGGCTCTGACATAGAAAGGGAAACACACAGCATGGTCTCCTGTAAGCCAAATTCAGTTGGTGTTGTCTTTATTGACACATTTATTAGGGCTGGGAATGGGTTTTGGCAGCAATACAGAAAAGGGTTGCAACTGCTTTCTTCTGGGATATTCCCAAGCCCTGGAGTCCCCCGAAGCCCATCCAAACATTAACCCAACTGACCCTACTGAGCCTCTGAGTTTTGACAAGGCTGGTCGCACACTGCCATCTGCTGAGACCAATATAGATAAACAAGCTTCAAAAGGACTGGAAAGGAAAAAAAATGGCACCAGGTTTAGGAAGACAATTCTGCTAAAACATAAGAGAGAGAGAGTGTGTGTGTGTGTGATTAACAAGAGGAAACACGGCTGAGTACAATTGGTATCACGCATAACACAAACCACCCTGGGGTTTTCTAGTTAGCCTAAGCTTGTAGGAATATAAAAGCAAGGATTCGATCTACTGTAATGTTCACAGATCAACGTCTCCATTTTGCAAATAGATTTGTACTTGCAACGAGCTCTTGAGACGGGATTAAATGGTTTTATCCAAGTGGTGTTTTCTGAATGACTTGAGTTGTGGGTCGGCTGAGAATGTGTTGGTCCAAAGACCAAACGAATATATACATTTGCGAGCGTGACGCTTCCTCAATCACGTTTGGCGGTTTCTCCTCCGCTTCCCGCTCCTTTCCGCGGAGAACTTCGACAGGGGTTGGACTGGATGATCTCCAAGGTCCTCTATTAATCTGTTATCTTGGGCTCGTAGGGATTTTTGAGTGGGCTCCCGTAATTGCCAGCCGATCACGTCTTTTGACCACCCCCCGTGAGGAAATATAGTAGAACCCAACCGGCGGGCCACAGGTTCGAGTAGCCTGCTCAACCCCGCCTTCCTCTCCCCTTCACCCCGCTCTTTTCCGCGCCTCCCTTCGGGATTGGAGCGGAGGCCTTCAGAGCCTCCTGACGGGCGCTGAGGTCTGCGAGCCGATCTGCTCCTTGAGTCCGTCCCAGAGTTCCTTGCAGGCTCAGAAGCTCCGCCTTGCCGCTGTTTCCCCGATAGGTGGCGCACCCGTTGGGGTCATTTGAGGTTTAGCGCTGGAGTCGCTCGCCGTGTTTTAAACGCTGGGAGTCTCGGTGGGGCTACTGACGCCAGCGGAGGGGAAAGGGGCGGTGCCCGCATTCTCGCGAAACGCTCCTCGCTCCGCGGCACGTGCCAGGACTCCGTTCAAGCTTGTCGCGGAGTGGCTGCGCTACCAAGCCAGTCCCACCTTTCGGCAGGCACAGCCAATCACCGCACGAGCAACTCAAAGCAGTCATGAATAATAAGTGTCTCCCGGGCCCTCAGAGGCGCGCCGAGGGAAGGGGCGCATGCGCTCTTGTCAGCTCCAAAGGGGGCAACGGTGGATTTAATTATTTTTTTTCTTTTCCGCGGCGTCCGCTCCACTGGCGTCGCTTCTCGCCTCCTTCTTCCCTCTGGGTCTCCTGGGGGAGGGGGAGCTCGAGCTCAGCCGATCGGCCCCCTACGCGTTAATAGCATGTCCAGCCGCGCCGCGCCTCAGGAGGTGGCAGCGGACACCGCGGGAGCCGTGCAGCAAGAACGGGGTCCGACGGGCGCTTTCCCTTTGGTGCTGAAGAAACTGATGGAAAATCCTCCGCGGGACTCACGCCTGGGTGAGGGTGGCGGGAGCGTCTCGGGGGTAGACTCGGCCTCCGCGAAAGGAAATGCGCGATGGATCGGAGGGAGGTAGCGGTGGAGGGGGAATTGCGGCGGCGGCGGCGGCGGCTCGTGCCTCAGTTCGGACGGGCGCGTCGCATCCATTTTGCCGTGTGGCCTGGCGGGCGCTGGGGCTGCTCCTGGTGGTTGCCTCCTCCTTCCCTCTGGGTGGAGCGGAGCGCTTCAATCGCCCGGCACCTGCAGCCCCCGTCGCTTATGGGCGTCTATCCGGGACTGTTTTTTGAAGCTCGGAGCGCGTAAGGCAGGCGACGAGTCCGCGAATTGTTTTCCTGAAAGTAATCTCCACTTAACGGAGCGGGACTTCCTTGTGATAACCGTGAACAGGACCACCGGCCCCGAAGGGCTGCTGGAAGCACATTAGAGCACTCTGCCTTTGGGGAAGCGGTTGGATTTCAGGTTCCCGATCGGTCTGTTGCACTTACCTATTGCAAAGTATAAGCGCGAAACACACACACACACAAACGTTTAGTCTGGGAGGGGATTTCTTTCTGTTTGATTCTGAAATTGTCGGGTCATATACCTCTTTCCCTTATCTGTCAGGGGAAGGCTTTGCTGACACTTGCATGCTGTCATTATGTATTTTCTTTTTAAATGCTTTGAATTAGTCGTCTTTTTTTATCAATGGCACAAGAGAAGAAAGTAGTAATAGCTAAACTGAGCAGAAAACATTAGTGGTGATTTAATTGTCAACACTTTGTTCCTGAGCTTGAATAATCAAATCTTTGTTTTAAACATTCATTTATATGAAAGTAGCTCTGATACCCTCTGTCTTACATTTTTGAAATTCATATTCTTTTGAATTAATTTCTTAACATTTATAGTTTATTTTGCATTTTACATTGCTATAATATTAAGAACTAAATTCTGGTGCTAATGATGCAGAAATATTAATCTGTTTAATTAAGATATGCAATTTTAGTCCTATATCTACATAACTAAGAATACAATTAGTTGAACACAAAAGGATAATTTTCAGGAAACAGAAAACTGACCTAC